CCACCACCACCACCACCACTTCTTACCCCAATGATGGCAATGAGTTTCAAGTTTCAAGGGCTGGGCGCTTGCGTACTCGCTGAGGATAGCATCCCCATCGGATCGGAAACCCGCCTTACCCGGCAGCTCCTGCCAGTTGTAGATCTCTCCTAAGCTGCGTAGTTTTCCAGGGGGTGCAGGCCTGATTTGGGAGCACAGATAAATGTTTACAGCCCCAACCAAGAATTGACAAGACACCATAAATACAAACACAAACAGAAAGAATAAGGACAGCAACAAAACACTTCTAAAAGAGTCACTGAGATCCCAACCCTCAAAGCGGGTTGCCAATCAGGCTAGGGCAATGCCAGTAGCCTACGGGCCGCTACTAGCTACAGTTGTGTGACTACCAACCTGCGTACGGACACTCCCAAACAGGAGGAAGCCGCCCATGGCAAGCTGCGCATGGTTGAGCGTGCTGAAGTGAACCCCATCCTCCCTTCCACTTCATGAAGCTCTTATATAGTTAGCTCATGCATTAAATGCCAAGGAACCGTTGAAGAGCGCCACAAGGCCTAACTCAGGGCGGCGGAAAGGTTGCAGAATCCGCTCACCGGTCATGTGGAGCAGGTTGTGCACGAAGTCATAGCCTGAGCGTTCGTGTGGGCCGGATGTCAAAATTCTAGTCCTCTAGGATCCTAGAACCGTGGAGTAAATCACCTTCACCTTCATATGTGACCATAACTGTCATGTATTTCATGGCTTGCATAACCCCTTTGCTCAAATCCTGCATCCTACCACATCCTAGCATTGATGTAACCTCCTTTCCCTGCATGCGGGCTGCCGTAGCCCTGCCATCTGTTTGTTGCATCTGGCCCTCGGAATCGTAGGAAAAAGTTGGCGTAGGTGAGGTTGCCTAGGTTGCCACAAAGGGAGTCTTGCTGTCCTGGAGGTAGGGGCACCCAATCTAAAACCCCGTGCTCGTAATGGAAACTCAAGAAGAGGAGTCTGCGCTGCGCTCTTTTGGATAACTGCCCATATTGTGGAGTTAGCAAGTTAGTCGCCCTGATTAAATGTTGTTCCCATCATTCGATTGTGCGGGTGCTCGTTGACAAGCCTAGTGGGAGTAGCCGGAAAGGTTGCAAGACTGACAATCATGATGCTGGTGCGAAAGTTGCATTGTTGACCGGCCCAGCTGCTTATGAGCCAGTTGGCTACTAGGAAGCTGCACATGTCCTCGGTCACAGGTGGTTGCGGCTGCCTATTTTCAAGGCCGACAAGATCTTAATCCAAAGCACCTGAAGCCTCCCCTCCCCGATGAGGGTGTCTCAAGAAGGGGATCCCTTACTGACCCCCCAGGAATGTAGGGATTAAAGAGAAATCTGGGCCCCCTGCTCAGAATAACATTGTTCAGGAACTCCAACCCAACTAATTCATAGATCAGGATCCCGGCGTGCTGTTGTGCCAGTGCCTCAAACCGGCCTGCAAGGCACGTTATCGCTGGCTTCTAGGACTGATACCAGGGTATCATCTGTTTTGAAAGCGGCATCAAGGAAGTGATGGATTGAAGGGTTTAGCATGCAGTGCAGGGTGTTTAAAAGCACGTATTAAGTTGTGCATAGAGAGCTTTCTACTAGGTTTCTTGGAAGGGAGCTTGTTTAGTTAAGTTCCTGAACAACCACCCAGATTCTCAGGATTGGCTATTGGAGCTGTAAAGGAAGCCTAGGTTTGACCCCTTCTCGTCTAGGACAAATGCTCCCAGGACTCCGTGGAGGGGATCCCTATAACAGCCTCTCATCCTTCTCATACTTCTTGTAGCGACCCCTTCCTCCCGATTGCCGGGAGACATAGGCTTGGTACCTTCCATAAATCAGCACTTGTGAACCCCGAATTTAGAACGCTTTTGTCGTTTCTAGCCACGACACTTGTATTCTTCGGGCCATTTGAGCCCAGTATTCCGGACTGCCTACAGCTAGGCCACCTCTTGCCCTGGCTGCTGCCGCCGCCGCCGCGCATGGCATCGGGATAATTCTCGGATCTTGAGAAGGCGTTGGGCTACCGCATTGCAAGCCCTCGCCAGGAGAAAACCTACTGTCATATCTGAGTGAAGTGGCCTACCTTGTAGGGCTAAGAATGCTTACAGCTGTCTAGCTCCAGTCATGCATTGCTATGTTTGCGTGAACTTGTTCACGGTTGGGATCTTGCATGATCACAGCCGAGGTTACATGCCAAGGTTCAAGATGTAAAATAATGGACACCTCTAGCTTGGAAGTGTACTTCTGGTTTCGCATATGCCTGAGCCGGAACCGAAAGCGTGCATTGCAGCGAAGTCCATGTTCGGAGATCATCAAGGACGTGCTGCCGCGGTCTTGGCTGCTCCTGTACACCCACAAAACCAAACTCCCATCGAATAATCGGGCTTGCAATACACAGCCCTGACTGGTATCATGTGCGTTTGGCGGACAGGCCATACGCGAGTGTTGATTCCAGTGAATTTGGAGCAAGCTTATCTCTGGAGTTACTTACATATGCCAGGGTCTTGAATGCATGCCTTGCGAGGGAGCAATGGAGCAAATCTTGATACTCGCCAAAAAGCACCCGTGGCCCGAAAAGCCAAAGAGATGAGCGACATTCCCCGAATCCAACCCTCGAATCCGTCCTTCAACCCACAACGTTGCCGAATGGCCAAGTTGCCCCTACAAGAAAGGCACCAAAAATGCTGGGTTCAGTCTGCTTGGGGCAGAGACAGGTAGCATCAGGCATGAACTCGTGCATCATTCAGGCCGCAGGTCTGTTTACCTGTTATGATTCCAGTTCCTACCGACTCCATGTAGACTACTCGGTAGTGATTGAGGCAGCTATCAGAAAATACAACCCTACGTAAACCCTAAAACCTTAGCCCTACATCAGATCTTATGGTTGGGATGCCGTGAGTTGCCACTGGTTGAGGAAGAAAGGACTGAAACTCTGGGCCAAGGACGGGCTGTTGAGGAAATGGATCCCCGGGGTTTAGGGTTTAGACACGCGCATCGCACAAGCAGGTTTAGGGTTTAGGGATTAGGGTTTAGGGATTAGGAATTAGGGTTTAGGGATTCGGGTTTAGGTTAGTTGGCGAGGAAGAGTGAACTTTGATTGCCAGTTACGTGCATTTGCGGTCCTGTTGTGTACTGCACGGTGGTGACTTTTATTACTGAAAGTGTTGTGTTTTGCTGATGATTTTATGGCAGCAGCAGGCTTCATGCGCAGATTGACTAGCAGCGCTCCTGGTTGTCTGACTATCTATCAAAGCGCATAGAACACCAGCTTGCAAAGGATTGGGCCCTTGATGTGATTGAGAGTCTCCAAGGAAAGGCCTCGACATAAAGCCAGGACCCTTGACCTAAAGCACAAGGACTATGTAAAGAAAAACCATGATTTAGTCTTGACTCCGTTGAGCATGTTCGTGCTACAAGGCTTGTTGAAGCAACCATGCCTGCAGTTGCACAAGGAGGTCTCTTTCGCGCGCTTCACGCACTTAGTCAGCTCCTCACGATAGCTACTATGCTGTTGGTCCTTTCCGTTAACCCAGTTCTCCAGTGGCG